TGTTGACCCTGGGCTCATTTCCTTCCCTCACTGAGTTTCCTGCTGGAAGGCCCAAAGTTGCAAGCATTAAAAAGATCAAAAGATCCTAGAGCTGACCAGAGGGCAGGGAGTTGACAGGGAATTGTAGGGAAAGAAATGGAATCCCAATGACAGCACAGTCTAGACTTGGAAACTCACTGGTTCTGTTATTGGTCAGCAGTATGACCTCAGGCAACTTCTTTGGGTCTTTTTCCTCACCTGCAAAATGAAGATAGTATCTGCTTCACGGGAGTCTTGCAAGGATAAGTGAGACAAAATGCATGTGTGCCCCATACTACTAAATGCTCCATATATAGAAGCAGTTACTATGATCAATTTTTTATTAAAGGAGCGTCTGGCTATGATTTCCCCATACTATACTCCCTTTCTACCATAGCTCTTTTCTCTACCCCCTTCCTAAACACACACACACACACACACACACACACACACACACACAGGCACGCACGCACACACATACACACACACACACAGGCACGCACGCACGCACGCACACGCGCTTTCCCCAGGAAGGGAACTGAATTTTCCAGAGGGGGAATGGTGAGGAAAAAGAATGCCAGACAGAAAATGAGAACTGAAGATGTTGACTTTATTGCTACCTGGGCTGAAAGGTACAGCCACAGGTAGAGATGGACACAGTAAGTCCTCTGAGGTCTGTGAAGAAAGCGGAAGAGATAAAGCCATTTTGTGTTTATTTCAGGTCCTGTTGGTGAATCTTTGTGAAGGAACCTTCTTAATGTCAGTAAGTGTCTGGGTTCAGATCCCCTGCAGGCCCACCACCAACTCAACCTCTCTAGTCTCATGTTCCACTTATTTCAACAAACATTAAATACTTTTGTTGAAAAGACCTCCCCTCTCTCAAAGAGCCCACAGACATAGACACAGATGGCTTCACTACAAGGCAGTATTAGTGCCTTTCGAGCGAGGGATATAAACTAAGTACCACAGGGATCGAGAGGATAACTCACTGATGTTGAGAGTCAAACTGGAGGCCAAGAAAAAGCTTCTGTTGTTTCTCCCCCATGTGGCCAATCATTTTGGGTTGTAAATATCATGCCGTCTTCATGCTCTTCCACCAACCCCTTTAACTCCACACCTCCTCCATGACTGCTCAACCTCTGAGCTGACTCTGTCCTCTCCTAGGTTGGTGACGAAAAAGACATCCTACCACCGAAGCTTCAGGATGACCTCTTAGACTCTCTTAGTCAGGGGACCAATGAGTTAAAGAGTAAGTCCTAGGCCCCTTTTATTTTGGGTTTCTCCAGGGAGCTTGAGGGCCTGATTCCCAACCATTCCGTTCCAGAACTAAAATGAACTCATACAACAGTCCTAGGCTAGCCCCAGAGGCCTAGATCCTAGGGCAAGAATGAATATGGAATTTTATTCTTCCTAAGCAATGGCAGAGAGCCCATATCCAGGCTGTCATTTCAATTGGTCATTCAGTAGTTATGAATTATGAATTATTTCACCACTTTCCTCAGGAGCTTTCAGCCTGCAATGAAAGCCATACTTGGAGGTGAGTTTGGGTAATTTCATCATTCTGCTCTGAGACAGCCTTTATATGTCTCCTGCAGCTTCAGAACAAATCAATGAACATGTTTCAGGCCCTTTCGTGCAGTTCTTTGTCAAGACTGTGGGCCACTATGCTTCCTATATCAAGTGGGATGCCAATGGGCAAGGCCACTTTCAAGAACGGTCCTTTTGTAAGGCTCTGACCTCCAAGACCAACCGCCGATTTGTGAAGAAGTTTGTGAAGACACAGCTCTTCTCCCTTTTTATCCAAGAAGCTGAGAAGAGCAAGAATCCTCCTGCAGGTACACAGCAACAGCTCCCATCATTGTAAGCCCACAGAGGGTCACCTCTAGGATGAAGAGGATGGGAAGAAAAAGTGTCTCTCTGGAAGACCACAAAATAGCTGTAATTTTATTAGTGGGGTTGAAAGGAAGTAACCTTGAGATCTAAGAAAATGCCTCATGGGCTGAAATTTTGCAGAAGTTGGTCTGTTCATCAGCCAGCAGGACTGGGCCCTTTCCTTTCTGCTTTAGTCTGGATCTAATTCCTGCTTAATTACCCTCTGTGAGCCCCTTCTTGGGCCAAATTGAATACCTGGATCTCTGGAGGCTTGTGAGGGCATGGGATTCCCAGCAGGATGGTGGGACGTGGGGGGTGGGGGACAGACATGCTATTTCTGATCCTTACTCCTAAGCTCATCATAGTCTGCCTGACCAGATTAGAAACCTCTAACACCTGTATCTAAACCCACAGGCTATTTCCAGCAGAAAATACTTGAATATGAGGGACAGAAGAAACAGAAGAAACCAAGGGAAAAGACTGTGAAATAAAAGCTGTGGTGAACAGGAGTGACTAGACCTACAGGCCAGTTCTGGACTTTGGCCCTTGCTAGTGTGGCAGGATCAGCGAAGCTCTCAGTCCCCAGAATCCACAGCCTCTCTCCGGAGTCCTGGTGAACCAGGTCTTGCTTCAAACTGGTGTCTGAGTTCAGGATCCCTGGTAACAGCTTTCTCAGGACTTTGGAGGGCTCTAACTCCATGCTCACAGAACTGTGTTCTAAGCTGTGTCAGAGGTGACACAGAGTGGGAAACAGTAGTACAAGTGTTGTAGATGCTTGGTTAGAAGTTGCTGCAACTGCCCTCTTTCAGGAACTACTATTATAAAGTCCTCAACAGAAAATGCAGTGGGGGCCCTAAGGCTTAGCCCCTCCACACAAAAAAAGGTCTGTGGACACATGAGGATGAGAATAAAAATGAAAATCTCATTGTTTACTTGTGTCTTTGGCTTTCAATATGGAAGGAGAACCAGGAAAATGAGGCAAAAAATGTGAGAATAAATTGGACTAGAAGTGGAGGATTGGACTTGATCATGGTGGCCCTGCACCGGGAGCTGTTTGGAATGGAGAATCACAGGGGTCAGCAGCTCCACTCCAACAGGAAGGGTAAGAGATACTGGTAGTAGCAGTGACAGCACTGGACACAGGGCAGCAGAGTCCCTGGTTCTAGTCAGGTGTGCTTTTCAGAATCCTGAGTGGAAAAGCTGCTACATAAGAGAAGCACCTGTGGTCTAGGGTAACTTGAGGGTAGGAATTCCAGTCAACAGAAGCCAGTGAAGAATACTACATGGCTTCCACAAATAGGCCTGTTTGCCCATCATTTCCAGTTTGGACTAGTCCTTTACCTTCATTCTTAGACATCCTACCCCTAACTGGTTGTTATTTTGAGAAGCCCAGTTCAATTCTTTAGCTAAAGGTGTAGGGAGCCCTGCATTGATATTTTCTCCTTTGAGAAAAGAAAATTATAATCTTAAGAGTCCAAAGGAGTTTAAGGGTGACCTAGTCCCTCCTCCCTCTATACCTCTGATAGCTTCTATTGAAACAGAGCAAGAGATGGGAAACGTTTTTAGAAGCATCTTAGCTTTTCAAAAATTCCACTTCTTTATATGTATGTAAGTGTGGCCCTCAGAGGTCCCTGAACTCTATGCAAAGAACACAAATATTTTTGGAGGGTGGAATGGGGGTACGGGCTACCAAATTGAAGTTAATCCCAATGTAATTTGATTTTGGGAGTGCAGATTTTTTGTGCACTCCAGGTGGCAGATGTTCCACTGTCACAAACCATACCCAAGCATGTTGCCACTCTTCACAGCTTCTAAAAATCACTGTATCTTTTTAGGTAGTTTATGGCAGTGGTTCCTAAACCTAGTTGTACCTCCAAAGGTTTCAGAACAGGAACCCAAGTCCTGGGAATTTTGTGAAAATACTAAAACTCCACCCCAAATCTATCAAATCATCTCTAGAGATAGGACCTGAGAATTTGTATTCTTTAAAAGCTTCTTCAGGTGATTTTGTTATGTAACCAGGTATATGAATACAAGAAGAATCAGGGCCAGCTGAGGTTTACTACAAACGTACCCTTGATCTAATGCTGATGGTATATGTAGGGCTGAAGGAAGCAAATACCACATATGTGAGTGCTTTTCAGATTCCCTATATGCTATAATAAAGATCCTAGGAGAATGTACACATTTCAGTTAACCCTCAACATCTCAGTTTATAGCTTTAGCTCACTAAAGCCCAGTATGGTGTAGGAGAGAACTCTGGATCAGGATTCAGAAGATCTGGATTCTAGTCTCTGTTCTGAAAAATTGCAACTGTGTGACACTGGTATGTCATTTAGCTTCTCCAGGCCTCAATTTCCACTGCAGGTAATTAATACCTGCTATGTCTGTTGTAATAATCAAGTAAGACAATAGACGTAACTTTGCCAAACAAGTAGAATTATCCTTCCTTCTTGTCCTAGCTTTTAAAATTTGATCTGCCCTAGCATTTTCCTGTATGCATTTCTCTATTCCAGATGCTGGAGAAGTTGCTAGCAATCAAAGGTAATGAGGGATTTCCCGTTCCTGCTACAGTCTAGCGAAGAAATTACAGGTTTAACTCTCATTGCTAATCCAGATCTACATGGGATTGATGGAATCATTAAAAGTGTAAGAAAGCAGGGTTCTGGCTGCCACGCAAGGCAGTACAACTACTGTTTATTACTGATTATGGAACAGGATATAAATAAAAATCAATAATAAAATACCTAATTTTAGCCAATAGTTTAAACCTTTTCTGTTGTCTCCCTCTTCATCCACGCAACTGAACTGTCTGCATACAAGGGAAATAGATCTAGTTCACAGAAGACACCTGGTTCCCATTTCAAACTATAGTATAGATATTGAAAAGGGGAGTGACAGAAAAAGGAGAATGTAAAGTGACCCTTAGAGAGGCCCAGGCAATTATTAAAAATGTAGGGAAAGGGTTTGAGACTCCTGAATGACTGATAATCACAGGGGTGATGATGACAACACAAGGAACCCATGGAGAGGGAAAAATGAACACAGTTCTTTTTTAAGTTAAATGGTTTCTACAAAACAGAATGGTCACAGGAGACATCACAACAATGTAGCTAACTGAATTCCTTATTTATTAAACAAATAAATTTTGCTTACATTTAAAAAAATGACATTAAAACTTAGTTTATCTTTCCACTGAATAAAACTGAGAAAAAAAAAGTTGGATTTCAGATCATATATTTATTAAAAAAAATAAAATGGATTGACAAAGTTACCACATTATTCTGCATGCTAACAGGATTTCCCAAGCCCATGAGAGATACCACTTCTTGAGCAATAAAACAGTTACTTATTCAACAGTGTAAAGATATGAAACTTTTCAATCCAAATTCAAGGTCTCTATCACTAGGTTCCACCCCACAAGCTAGTAGTATGTATCTGTGCCACAAGCTGAGCTCCTTTGTAAAGAAACTAAACAAGGATGTTACTGAAAGATAATGATTTGTTAAAATTATAAAGTAACCATGTTTTGGCTTGCAAATATTCTACATTAGAGATCTCCACAACTGGGGATCTGCTCCCCATGACAATATTATTCTGAATCTGGGATAATTACAAACAAATGGCATTTTTTTCCTGCATGCTTTCTTGGGCCAAACCCCGTATGACAACATGTACAATTTATAGCATGGGACTTGAAATTCCCATTCTCACAAAGGATAGTTAGGGAGTGTTACCAATAACAATGGATAAAAGTTATACAACACTGTTTATTATAAATTATATTTGTTCTCATCCACCCCCATTCTCCTTAATATGCTCAGATTCTTTCCTGCAGAAAATATGAGTTTCCTATATAACACCAATTACATCATTAATGATGATTAGAATGAGCTGTAGAGACCTTGATTCTGAAGACATGTATGTGCAGGTGAGATGCAATCTGATTGCAAACACTGACACAGTAGCGAATCAAATCAAAGAAAGAGAAGACCTGGGAAGAAAAGAGACTATTAGATTCTCAGGACCAGCTAAGGCCTTCCCTAAGCTTCCTTAAAGTAAAGACAGGTGATCTCTGACTTTCTTGTCCTCTCTCCAGATTCACCTTCAATTCTATACAATTTAATAACTCAATTTCCTCATGATCTTTCCATTACACTAATGATCTACAAACTATTTCTTAGACAAACAGTAAATATTTTAAACTTTGTGAGCCATACTTACTGTCTTTGTCACACTGCTCAACTCTACCATTGTAGCATGAAAGCAGCCACAGACAGATAGATAGATAAATAAATAAATAAATAAATAAATAAAATGGCCATGGCTATGTTCCAATAAAACTTTTACAAAAACAGGCTGTGGGCCCATAGGGTGTAATCTGCCAACTCCTGCTTTACAGTCAGAAATTTGGAATTTATTAGTCCTGATGTAAGCAGGACTAATAAGAGTAATGCAAAAAATGGCTCAAATATGAAGTCCCAGGAACTCTCACAGAGCCCCATAGGCATGGGCTTCTGACATTCCAAATCATTACAGGTATATGATCTATCTCTCAGGACTGGCCCACTGAAACAAGAAAACAAGTAGCCTCCAAATCATGAAATAAGACATAGTACAATACTTACCAGAGCAATCCAAAGTACAATATATTCATCAATAAAGCTGTTAAAATACTGGTCCAGAAACAAAAGTGCCGGACCTATGAACGCTGTGTCATGCAAATGCATTTCACTTTTTGTCATGTGTGCAACCTATGAATAAAACAGAATCAATGATGTAGGTATTTTCATATTAGAGCAATTTTGAGCAATACAGTAAATCAGTATTGTGCTCAAATATCAAGTTTCAAGAATTATTTAGCAAAAGTTGTTGAGTTTCTAAAACTAAAAACCCAACAATATGAAGTGTGTGTAAGAAAGAAAGGGATATACCATGTCAACTAAGCCCACAAAAGATGCTTTTCACAAGGAGCCTGAATTTGAGTGCCCAGATTGAGACAGAAGAATGCAGAAAAACCGAACAAACAAATTAAATAGTGGATGGAAGAGTAAAAAGCTGTAGAGGTTCAAAGCACTTCTGGTAACCTCAAATTGTAGCTTTATAAGGGTGAAAATAGCTCCTATTGTTGATGTCAGGGGATTTTGACTGGAGGAGAGCAAACTCTAGAACTGCTTAGGAAACTACAGAATGAAAACCATGGCCATAAAACCAAAATAAAGTAAAACTTAAAAACAAAACAAATAAAATATAGGTGCTTACCACGAGCTTATTAGTGATTTTAGCTGATACAAAACCAAATGTCAGTATATAAAGACAGGGATGCTTTTCAAAAAGCTGAACTGCTGATTTCTTGTAGATCACTGCAGCTAATGTAATCACTGATCCAATATGAAGAAAAGGAGAAAGAACACTTGTTCCCTGTACAGAGTGAAGAGAAGAGTTAATAGTATTCAATACCCATCAACTACTATGTGGATTTGCTGTAAAACTGTTCAACTCAAACTTTTAAGAACCTCATGGTACCTGATGGCCGGCCATCAATTTCTATAAACTGAAAACCAGAACAGCTATCAAAAAGCAGCAGCATGAATTGGTTAGACATGAGCTGAGGATTTCATGTAAGAGGCCAGGCTTATTTTTACAAAGTAGGTCATACTTTTAAAAAAACATATGTGTGTTGTGTGTGTGTGTACAGGCACAAAAATATGCATACAAGTATACAAATGTATATATATATATATATATATATATACCTGAGAAATTTTGGACATAATATTTTTAAGGCTAAGCAGAGACTCTAAATTAACTAATGATTTCATACATTTCAAATGAAAAGCAAAGCAATCACAAAATCAAGTCCTACTGTAAATCACTGGAAATCTTAAGATATACTCACTGCTATCGTTGATCCATTTTTGCCAACACCACCTGTGAAGATCACACGGAAGTAATTCGTACAGGAAAAGATGGTCCCTGCTACAGTACAAAGTGCGGGAAAAATCTTCATTTGAATATTCAGCACTGGAATCTTTAATGGGTAGAGAGAGAGAACAATTAAAATATATATTAACTAAAATATGAAAACACTACAGTCAAATATTTGATTCATATTCCCAAATACTCTCTACTCCCTCCAGTTTGGTAAATACTTAAAGTAATAGAAGCTTCCTTTTCCTCTTTACTGTAAATAATATAACAAGTCTCAAGAGATGAGACTATATAGAAATTAATCTCACTTCTGACATAAAACTTTAAAAAAAAACTGATCCAACTTTATTAATTTGTATCATAAGCTAAGTGAGGTTCACCTAATGCTTCCCAGAGGTCTGGCAACAGTGAACCTGGCTGTCTTCTGGACTTTTTTACAAAAGGAGTGCACACTTTGCCTTTTTCTTCGTGCATTTTTTGAATTCTACCTCTAAATGTGTAGTGTGTTCCTAACTGTTGTGAGAGAGAAAGTATAAAGCATTAGAGAATAGAAATATTTGCAACTAGATTTAAAAATCTGCAAAGTAGAGAATGGAAAAGTTCTATTCAGAAGAGTTCCCAATTCAGGCAACGAGTAAAAGCTGAGGGCAACTAAGAAGGCATTCATATGCAGGAGAAAACACATGTCATGCACATACCAACAGGTATAGCTTTACAACTGTGTATCCAAAACTTTAACGTATAAGTTCTCTTTTCAGAAAAGTAAAAAATATGTTCTTAGAGTATACTGAAATTATGGATTGATTTACCTAAAGTAAGGAGGACTGAGGGAATTGATATCATGCATTTTATCTTGCAAGCATAATATCTATCAATTATTTATTTACTTATTTACTAAGAATATAATATCTATCAATTAAAACGAAATACAAGGGTACTTCAAAAAGTTTGTAGAAAAATAAAGATAATTCAGGGGGTGGCCGGTTAACTCAGCTGGTTACAGCACAGTGTTATAACACCAAGGTCAAAGGTTCAGATCCTCATAAGGGCCAGCCCACAAAAGAAAACAAAAAAAGAGATAATACAACCTTCCCACAAACTTGAAGATCCCTCGTACTCTTGCACTAAATTTTAAAAAATCATTTATGATTCTCTCCTTTTTTGCACCCCTTCTTTAGTTTTCCTGGCCTCAAATTTTGTCCAATATGGATTAAAAAGAATACAACAGTAAAATAAATGATATATTCTATTAACAGAAACAAATGATTATGGGAAGATTCCAAAACCTCACAATAGCTTAATAGTCAATGAGTTCTTACAATTAAAACATTTTAATTAGTGCTTTTTACATTTTCTAGGGCTGTCAGCTGCCTACACTTTTAAAACCATATAGGAAGTATGACATTCCTTTTTTTTTTTGTACATATAAACCCCTAGTAAAATTGGCAAACATAAGTCTTAATGTTTGGATACTCCATTTCTTCAAAACTCTTAAGAACTCTGTTTGTGCAACTTTATGACCTCTTGCAAAATTGTAGCTCTAAAAAAACCTGAAATCAATCATTCAGATCTCAAGTTGTTCTGTAGCAGTGTTTAATTTTCTAAAATGAAAACAGGTCAACCTAAAAATCAATTCCAGACCTTTACAGAGCATCCTAAATGGTTGTCTTCCTTCCCTTACTGATCTCTAACTCTTACAGCCCAAGTTCAAAACTTGTTTTCAATAAAGGAGAAAATCAACACCATGGTTGCTTTGAACTCCAAAAGATTTTTCTGCTTTAGTTCCGGAAACTAGACATTACAATCTAAATGTGATGCACCTGGCTGAAAACAATACTCTGGTTAGTTTCCTGGTTCCCAACCCCTCCTGCCACTCCTCTCACTTTTCCCTTCATAGGGACAAACGACTTCCCTGGCAAAGGGGGAAACACTACATTCCTCCAGATTCCAGAAAAAGCAAAGCATTACTCCATTACAGGGGTATCCCTGTATTAGGGCCAGGGTACTGAATGAGTGCCAACTCCATATAACAGTAATCTCTGTCACAACTGAACTGAATGAGCTTCATAAGTGTATTTACAATTTGGTGAAATGCTTTAGGATCATGGAAATTTTTGTCCTTTGAAAGAATAAAGAATAAACACAAACATTAGAAAAGCCCAGCAAATTAGTACAAGGTTTGGATCACAAAGTAAGCAAGTTACAGACCTAGGAGCAAAATATTATAAACATTCTTAGGGCTCCCATCACTTCTGGCACATTAGTTATACACACCAAAACATAAGCTCCTGAATGTAGGATTTTGTTTGAATTTTTGTATCCTTGCTAGAGCCCTGGTTATTGTAGGTGCTCAATATATGTCTGGTGAATGAAGATTAATACCTTCTCCTTTTCTTTTACTCTCTATGTAGAATTTCTGTTTTGGGAGAGTATGAGGAAACATCTTGTCCCCCACATGAACAATGAAAAAGGAAGTTAGCTACAAGAAAATATGAAGCAAAGTGAAAGGAGTTAAAGGAATCCCCAGCCTCATCAGGTGATCTCTTAAAAATTGTCACCAATGGAAGCATTTATAGAAAGCACTACAAATTTTGCCATTTTCATCCCACACTCAAGATCAAGGAGGGTAGGCATATTCTATCTTTCCCAATCATTCTCTTTCTTTTATCACCTTCTTAGAACTCATCAAAGGTGGCCAAAGTGCATCCACTCTATAGCCAGAGTTGTGCTGAAAACACCTTTATCTCAGGTCTGCCTGGAGTTTCGGTAGTCTTCAAGACTTGGGAAGATTAGGAACTCCCTTGGGTCATGGTGACTGTCTCATAGCCAGGTGGGATTCATGCTATGAAAGCATGCATCCAAATAACATCAACACTAATATGATTCATTTTTAAAAAGGTTAGAGATGGGGAAAAAAAATCAAATTCTCAGCACCTTTACCAGATTACAGTGGATATGTTTTGGTTCAATAGTTTGGATTAATGCAGATTAATGTTATTAAACTGATGGACTAGTTTCCTTATAAGCATGATAAAATGTTCTTATAGACTTTGTATATTTCAGCAGAAATAGAAAGTATCATTTTGAGTTTAGATACTTTCTTCCAAAGAATGTGTGAATGCCTATTTGTAAATCATTCTAATATAGGTGAATTCCACCAAAATACAGCAAATGTTAAATCTTAATAATTACAGTGTCCACCAAGTGTTTAAGGAAAAACACCATGTGATGGAGTTTGGATGTGTTGTTCCCTCCAAAACTCATGTGGAAATTTGATCTCCAATGCGGCAGTGTTGGTAACTGATTGAGTCATGGGGGCAGATCCCTCATGAATGGATTAATGCTCTCCCTGGGGGAGGAGGGGTAGTGAGTGACTTCTTGCTCTATCGGTTCCCGCGAGAGCTGATTGTTTAAAGGGCCCTGGCACCTCCTCTCTCTCTTGCTTCCTCTCGCCATGCGATCTGCTTGTACCTGCTAGCTGCCTGCCACTTTCTGCCATGAGTAGAAGCGGCCTGAGGCCCATGCCAAATGCAGCTGTCCCAGAATCGTAAGCCAAATAAACCTCTGTTCTTTATAAATTACCCAATTTCAGGCATCCTGTTATAGCAACACAAAACGGACTAAAATACCACGTCTGAATTTTTTAAGTGTAAGGGCATTTTTAATGCCCTTTTAGTTCAAGAATGAGATATAAATAATTCACACTACATAGTAAGTCTTCAGTTCTATCAAATGAATCCTGAAACTTCACCTGTAGTAACATTGACTCATCTGCTTTACCTGGATTCCAGAAGGTGTCCTGTGGTTTAATACATATCAACTAATACATTTAATCAACTACTGTATTTAAAAGGATCAAATGTCAATGAAAGTAACCATAAGCGGATTACATGTGGGTCTCTTCTAAAGTGAGGATATTTTCTGTCCTATTTTAAAAAGTGATATGATAGAAGACAATTCTAAGACATTCCAAAAGGAAATATTCTTTGGGGGAAGCAGTAACAAAAAGTTTGTTTCTTGTTTCTTGCAATTTGTAAACCATGCACTGACTTTTGTGCATGAAAATAATTTCCTTCCTTAAGAGAGAAAAAAAAAATCATCAAAACAACAACTTAGACTAACTACAATAAAAACCCACCTCTTTGGAGGAAAAACCCCAGCAAGGAATGGGTAATCCATATTCAGTAGATGTAAATCACTTACCTTTGCAAAATAGCTGATCTTCTGGAATCAGCCTTTTGAAGACATTTGTACTGTTTTTGTTTGTTTCTTTTTACCATAAATTTGCCTTCTAAATATCAGTAAAAGTTTTTTAATTTAATGAAGATTTGGCAAACAATTTCCATTTTATAGCCTCAATTTCAAAAGAGATGAAAATTTCATATCTGAGCCCTAAATAAATATCTTTCTTCCACTTTGGCCTACAAATGAATGGGAGGACTACATGTACGGAGTACCTGAAAAAGTTCATGGTATTATTCGCATTATCTTTTAATTCTTTTTTTCCATGAATTTTTAAAAATATCCTTGTATTAACTGTTCCAGAACTAACATAATGCAATTCAAAACAGCATATTTAGTAATAAACCCATAAGACTAAATAAAAATAAAAAAGGTGGCTTGAGGTCAATTATGGTAATCTTTGCTAGCAGTTGCTCAAAAATCACAGAAGTCTCAAATATCACCAGAGAAGTCAGGTCCTTTCCTTTTAGCGAAATGATGCTAAAAGTAGGACCAATGATGCTAATAATAGGACAGGGGTCCAGGAATCTGAATCCTGCTGCAACCTAACCTTACTATTCCTGGAATTGGATTCCAGAGTCTGAAAACTCCATTTCAGTCTCAAATCTGAGAGTTCCTCAGATAACTTTTTAAAACATACAATAAGAACAAATGGATATATTATCTTAATTACAGGTAAGGATAAAACAAAATATTTTTTAAAAGAAAAAAGTTATATCTGTTATGTACTTGTACAGACTATATGTACAAATCCTACTGAAAAAGGTAAAAAGGATACCTGAAGCAATCTACTGCCAGGCACCACCTAAGAAAGGATATGTGTATAACATGTATAGATAGCTTCAATTACAACAATGTTTTATGCATTTCCATATTTATAAGGATAATTAGGCATATAAACCAGATGCTGACTTGTTTTCAAATGATCAAGAAATCCCTTTTTTAAAAAATATATATTGGTATGCTCAATCCTTATAGGCAATTTATACATGGGGGAAATTCTGGTATAAAACACAAGGCCTATGAAAATAATGATCGATATAGTCAAGGGACATAAAAAACTTAAGTGGATGTGGGGGTAGGCTTTAGGTTTTATGATCTGGTTTCAGGAGAAAAAAATCTATTCTTTCTTTCCTATAAGGTCAAATTGTTAAAAAAGTAACTAATGTACCGAAGAGCACGTGTTAAAAAATTCACATCTTTTCTACACATTAGTTTCAAAAGCCAATAGAGTCTCTGTAGTAAGATCTAAGATATATTTATATATGATATTATGTACGTGATTTAATAGTTTTGGAATATTCCTGGTTGACTGTGGATTATTTTTATTCCTTCATCTCCTCCCTCCTCACAACCCCATCCTCCCAACAAAATGCATTTAACAACTAATTTCTGGTAATAAATATGTAGGGAAGTATGTCAATTCATTTCCTCAAATACCTAATTTACCATCATAAAGTGAGTTAGGTAAAGGAAAAATCTTGCTCATTTAATTTCCCTTATACTTTAAAATTAATCTGATTTTTAAGAATTACATTCACTTAGCTTTAATAATAAACCTTTTTGTAAGATCACACCAAATGAATTACAAATAGTTCTTTCTGAAGTTGTGGTGGTTCTGATCAGTAGTTAACCAATGACAAGGGACAAACTACTTTGACCCAAATCTAGAAGAATACTTTCTAATTGTAAGAGCAGCAACAACTTTTATTCCATGCTTACTATTTGATAGGCACTTCATTTAACAATTCACAAAATAACTTTATGAGATAGATATCATTATTGTCCTCATTTTACAGAGGAGAAACTTAAGCCAGACAGAGTTATAAAACAGATTAAATTCACACAGTAGCAGTGGAGGCTGAATCAAATGCAGGCAGTCTGATTCCAGAGCCTTCCTTCTGGGCCCCCATTATATTCCCTCTCTCAGAGGTTTGAGGAAAAGAATCTGTGTTTGTAGAGGTATTACATTTCAGGTCAGGCTGAAAATCAAGGTCTTGGCTTGTTAAAACAATCCCATGGCACTGATTTCATTTAATAAGCATTTATCCTATTTTGGGGCCAGAGTTAAATTGTAAATTTAACCCAAATTTGTTATTCAGCCTTACACATATGGACAGAAAAACTAGTAAAGTCCTGTAATTCAGAAACAGAATAAAAGGTCTAATTTAATCTTCTCACTACCTGCTGTTTCCTCATCTGTAATAATTCAGACTCTCAATGGACTTCAAAAACAGCAGCCTGGGAATAGACCTTATGTACCACTTAACTCCAAGTAGTAAAATTCACCATGCTCTAAAGAGAAGTTTGCGTCCCATTCGTTGCTGTGACTTTTCATTTTCAGAAAAAATAAAAGAATTTAACACATTTTCCTTTAACTGTATTATTCTATATTAGAAAACACAAGCAAAAGTTACAACATGCATTACATGGGATACACAATGTGAACAAAATTACCATAGATTGCCAAAAAGGTGGTCCTCCAATCACTGCCAGCAAATGCATGATTATTATGAAGATTTGCACTTCAGTCACATCAATTCTGATTAGGTACAAAAAGCCAAAAAAGCATAATTACTCAAAACAATTTCAAGTTAATTACTTGCAAGCTTAGCAGCATTCCTCTATCATGCACAATAGAAAAATCTTAAATACTGAAGAGAGGGGAAAAGGAGGTGTCAGAAATTTGTTATGAGCAAAATCATATAAAATCCAGAGCCTTTTAATTTAATTTGATGAATTTCACAGAGCAATAAAAACCCCTCCTTTCCAAAGGAAATTTCTGACTCATTGAAGTTGGGCTGAAACTATAGCTTAACCTTTCCCACCAAAAAAAAAAGGGGTGTGTGCGTTAAATTTTGAGTGTCAAGCAGAGAATTACATTGCATTGCTATATGATATGAAATCTTGAAATAAGTGCTTTGTAGTATCAAATGAGAGAAATGGTGAGCTTTAACTAAAATAACATAAATCCGTGAAACCTTGCAAAACTTACTGCCCTTTTAGATACACTGTTTAATGACTAACATGGTATGGGTGTAAAAAAAATATTTCATCCAATTATTAATCAAACTCTTATTCTCACTAGATTAATTACCGTAAAATTTCTGCAAAGAAGATACTGAAAGCAGCCAAGAACTAGCTTTGGGGTTGCTGAAAATGATCTTACAGTCAAGAAGAGACAAACCTGGTGCAAAAAAATAGGGCAACAGAAATTAGAAGCCTGAAAGTCTGAAAAAAAGAATATGGGAAAAAGATTGAGGAGCAAAGCATATGCCAGTATTCCTTTCCTTCTCTAAACTAGCACTTGATATTTTCATTCTTAGATTACTGGATCCAAATGCTTTTTAATTTTGAGAATTCATCCTACAAATATGCTAGCATAAAATGATGTTTGTATAAGGTTATTAACTATAGATTTATAATAGCAAAAATTTTTTTTAAATCCCTTAATGAGGGAGTGGCTATATAAATTATGGTGCTTCCATACAATGTAATATTTTGAAGCTTTTAAAAAAGACTGGGGCAGCTCCCTATATACTGATATGGAAAAATATCAAAGTTATATTAAGTGAAAAAAGTTGCAGAATGTGTATAGCCTATTTTTTGTGTGTAAAAAAGAAGAAAAATAATATTCTACCTTTATTTTTGCCAGTAATTGCATAATAATTTTCTGGAAGGATAAATTTTTAAACTAAGGACAATGGTTACCTACTGGGGAGGACAATGTGGGAACTGGGCAGCTGAGAGATAAGGATGAGGATACTTTTCACTGTATACCTTTTTATGTTAGTTTTTCAAAGTAAAAAATTTACCTATTAAAAGTAATCAGTCTAAGAAACGTAGATATCAACAACAGTAAGGGGGTTGAATTCCCAGATCAGAATAGAGCCCCCATTTCTAAAATTGATACTTAAAGCAATCAATAATGTGAGCTTAAAATATGTAAGCTCTCATGCCCATGATATATAACTAGGTTGAAACCAGTCTCTTACACTAAAAAACTGATCTGTTTGCTCAAGAATATTTTTTAAACAGAAGCTGATTTAACTGCAAACATATAGTGATGTAGTTGTCTTGATATACACATTCATTGAATAAAAAAAAAAAAAATGGACTGAATTAGGCTAAAAAAAATCTGTAGAGCTGACCTGGTGAGTGGTGTTGCCAATAAGGGGAATTACACTCAGTAGCAGACTCAGGAGAGTAAGCAGGTAGGTGTCAAAGATGATCGATTCTGTCTTGGGTGGAGAAGGGTAGACATCTTACATTTTGCTGGATATATGAAGTAGCCTTTTGGAAGGGGAAGGGCCAGAAGTATAGAATTACAAAATAAAAATGGAGGGAACCTCATGCAATTAATTTTTGTACCATGGATGAATATAAAAGAGAATAGGAAACATGAAAGATCTCTACAAAGTCTCAAATTGGGATTCTTAGGAAAAATTTTATAAAATAGCCTGCTGGAAGTTTTGGAAGACAGAATTTTCTACACTGTTCAGATACTGTCATTATAATTAGATCAACAATGTTTTAATGTTAGAAGAAAGGGCCAGGAAAAACTTACTTACCAGTTGGTAGGTAGGAATATTTTTTCACATTTGTTTATCTGGTTTAAAGTAATACTCAGAACTCCAGGATGAGCCCCTTCTGCCCAGAATCATGAGAACTGCCTATCAGCACTCGTGGAAATGTGGCTCTAATTTTGACTGTCAACGAGAAAGTGTACAGTGCAAAGCCATCCCCAGGGATGGGAAGTAAAGCAAGCTAAGAGAGACAGGTGGCAGAAATGATTAACAATAACAAGAGTTAATGATTCTGCTTCGAATAGAGTAGTTACATGACAGTCTATTCTTCCACCTTTCCATTAAGAAGTCTCTCTGTATGGGCTGAATTTACTGTAACACATATTAGGAGGAGGCTCATTTTCATCTTTTTGGCCATGCAAGAAAGACATAATCATCTTAGAAGGAAGAATATTATATAAAGACAGGAATTTGGCATTTCTGTAATTACTTCCTTTTTATCATTATTACTATTTTAAAAATGGAGAAGCATGGGTGATAATATTTCCAAGTATGGGGATTATTCTTCAAAAACAAAGACAAAGAAACCCACCACCACCACCACAACAAACAAAGCTCTTCAAGACACAAAGGATATTTGGTAGAAGAGCACCCAAAACACCAGAGTGATTAAAAAAAAATGTATGGGAAAACAAATTTCTTATCTGTAGCATGAGATTTCACAGCCAAAAATTTGGAAGAATAAAATCAGATGATACCAAACATAATTTTCTGTAACCGTAAAGGTATTTGAACAACTGGACCAGAATTGCTTTAAAATAATTTCTTTTTTTTTTTTTAAAAGATGACCGGTAAGGGGATCTTAACCCTTCACTTGGTGTTGTCAGCATCACGCTCTCCCAAGTGACACAGGGGCTGGCCTGCTTTAAAATAATTTCTATTTCTACTTCATTTTAATATAAGTTGTCAAAAGACAAAAAGAATTTGCTCAATTGTTGTGGATAACCCATAATAAATACTCTGGTCAGAACACATACAAATTACTACAGCAAGCCAGAAACAAACATTGTTCTGATGGCTGTCACAAAAGAAAAACAAAAAGAAGCAAATGAGTTGTGGAGCCTAAGCTCTTCCATTCTTCTGAAGGGGAGGCTATAAATGTGGTAGTCCAAGGTCAAAATAACCTTCAACATCTGTAATAACCCCCTTGGGTCAATCATTCCTTACAACACCCTAATGGTCTATTGAAGAACGAAGTGTCCTAAATGAATATGGGTAATTTTAGCTTCTAAACAAGGTAACAGAGAATTTCTCTAGTTGGAGTGAGGATCTCAGAGGGCCTTCATCACTACAGAAAGGCAGCTTAGAAAACGCCCTGACAAGGGCAAGTTTTACACCAGAACTACAAAATAGCTTTTAAAAGTGATAAAGGGGGTGTAACAACTCCAAACTAAGTTAGCTAACTATGAGGAAAATTTCTAGCTTGAGAGATTCAATTTTACTTCTTGGTGTCCAGAAAGATACTTAAGAAATGCATATGAATTCCAAGACTCAGTATTGAAGGATGTGAAGGGATTTAAATGACATTCTGAGAGTTGATAAGCATGTTAATCACCTTTTCCAAGAATTTTTCATGTCTTTCCCCTCTAAAATGAGAAATATGACAATGTATTTTTCTTCTACATGTGACACATGCATTTCAAAGATATAATTCTAGTTAATCTATAAACATAAGTAGTTTTGTTAAACTATGAATAGTAAATATAACTGTTGTAATATGCGTTGACTATTAGTTTGGTTAACATATAATATTCACTGAGGATAAATTCAGAATGTCAAGGGAATCTTGACTTGTACAATTTGACTTCTAAGCTACTGTTAAAAAGAAACATTCTGTTTAAAAAGTCATCCATTTGAAGGTGTCTGGAATCCTGTTCAAAGATTACATTGCTATTAATTACAGATTTGTAATTATTTGTAAATGGATCTGAAGTTCTAAGGACTTTATGCATAACCAGAGCATGGCATTCATTAATAAGCTTCACCAGAAATACCAAGGGTGGGGTAAAACGTTGATGAACTGAAATGATTACTCTAGAAATTCCACAGACTACCTTCCAGTATTTTACTTTCTACTCTTGATAAGGGGGAAACTTGGCATGGCAACTTAGATTAATGTGAAATATTAACCATATAGCTGAGTGATACATTTAAGTATTTTTAGTTCAAATGTTATATATAAAGAAAACAGACAAGTATCTATTTTTGAAATATGCTGAATTATTAAAAACAGTATTACCTACCACATAAATGACTATGTGGATCTTCAGATTTTCTGAGAAGACTAAAAAAAAAAAAGCCCATTGAATAACTTTGAGTAAGCAGAGAAGAATATAGCCAAGGGCTAGAATAGAACAAGTACTCTAAAATAAGAAGAGCTAGAGTGCAGGTCTCAAATTTAAGGGACAGACTATCCTTACCACCTCAGGGGACAGAAGAATTGAAGGAGAGTCCTCTCACCTCATTTAGTAACAATCTTGGAGTTAAATAAAGGGATCATGAACTTATTCTTCCTCTCTAACTAGCACAATCAATTCCAGATGAAATCTGCAAACTATTGAGAGTTACTAACACACCTTAAAATTAATATAACAATAATGATAATGAAGACCTACTATAAGCCAAGCACTGCAGTTAGCACATTATATTTTAACCCTTTTAATCTTCCTAACTACCCTAGGAGGTAGAAAATATTCTCATGATTTTATAGATGAGAAATTTAGTAAAAAAGGTTAAGTGACTTTTCCAAGTTTACAGAAAAAATGAGAGGCAGAACTTTGAAACAAACTGGGAGTGCTGTTCCTACGCAGTGCTAACTCTAAATCTTTCGTCTACCAACCAATTGGGGCAAACATTTGTCCTAGGTTTTTAACTTACTATTGCTGAGATGTCTATACATTTCAGAATGATGCCTCTGTATTCTACAATTTTACCAAAAATTCTAGAATATAACAGG